GAGGACACAGATGCACGCGCTTGCTCGCGCGCGCCACTGGTCACAGTTATCCCAATGCGCCAATCAGGCTACAGGCGAACGCACACTGTTGCATCACACGCGGACTACGAGGACATGCTGGTCCGTTCCCAATGCCGGGGCTTGGCCCCGCGGCGGGACCAAGAACACGCTGGAGGTCAACCAGCCGCAACAGCCATCCGAGAAAGCTCCTCCGGGGTTTGTACAAAATAAACCCTCCTCCGGATGGATTCCAGAATTATGCCCTAATTATTGTGTTCGTCCTTGGAGATTCCAACAGGACGTAATTAAACGGTGACACACGCCAGATGTCATCATTATAACACTGAAGACGCAAAACCCGTCGTTATAATAGAAAGTATTTCCGACTTTCAATTAACCCTTTTGTGAGTTACGACAGCTGCCGTCAAAAGGAAGAGCAGCATGTCTGGCCCGACTGCTTCTGTCTTACATGGTTTGTCAGTCATGTTGACTTCAGTCCAACTATGAAAGGCTCCTTTCCGGATAACGAGGAACGACCTGAATGGAGTTTCCGGGTGTCAAACCTAAAGACGTTGTCCAGCCGCTGTTGTGGGACCTTGGAAGCGCAGTATAGCTCAAGCCCACGCAGAGTTCTTAAGGCCCACCATTCACAGTAGACCCTAAGGGCTTTGTGAATATTTACGCGGTTCTTTACTAGCTAGCTGCTGAGGTTTTCCCTTGAGAATTATGTCATTCTGTGGCTCAAAACAACGAAGGGAAGGGGACTGGTGCTCGTTTATTTTAGGATCTTGAAATCACACTTTTGTCCTTTCTGAAGCTCTTTTATCATTGGCTCAGGACGGCCCAAAAATTAAACCAGGGTTTTCTTTATCTTTAAATGCACTTTAAAGACGTTGATAAGGAGCTAGCTGGGCAAGCATAGGCAGCCTTTATTCGTTTCGGATGGAATATGGTTCCCAGGTGTGAAGCACCTGGCTGAAAAGGCGCTCGCATTTCCTGCAAAATCATGAAGTTTTCAAATGCTTTATCATGCGAACGCAGACTTGATGCTCCTAATCACATACTGACCTACCAGATAGTGAGGAACCTGCACTTCACCCAGCACTTCAGCGATTTCCTCCCACTGGTCGCAAACAGAAACCTACGTGGGAACTTCATCTCATCTGGATCGTCGACGTTGAATATATTCAAAACGAGTTGTCGGGTGACGGAACGCTTTTTACGAGCACATTAGAACGGCGTACCGGACAAATGTATCCAAACATAAATTGGCTGAATATTTCTTTGAAGTTTGCTGTTCATCCAGTCAGGAAAGAACTGATTCACCAAGACAACACATTGGAATCTATTATTTCACGTCAAAATTACAGTCCGATTACGGTTCCCCTCCTATTTGTCAATAGCGCAGACATTTTGGCAAGTATTCACAGCAGCACAGACGGTCGGAGAACGTAGAAAGAACACCATTGTGTATATTTTCAAGATTTACTTAAACAGCCAAAATGGATTATTTATGCAGAAAAAATGTGTTAATAGGGGCCAATTTGTTTTAAGTCTCTTAGTCAGGTACTCCGTCTAAGGAATGTTTGCCACGCGCGTTTCGTAGCCATCGTATAAAAAATTATATACTTGTGAAGCACATTGAAATCACAGCCAGAATGGGACTGTAGTTTTGGTCCTCATGGGCGTAGTAGTTGGCGACACGAGCCAAGGTCTCGATGCCTCCGAGCGAGGCCGGTACTTTGACACTTATTCTGGCCCACGTCCCCTCGGTTATGCAGCCTACAAGGGCGACTTCGAAGGCTACGACATTTAGCGCGAGGCTAGTGGCGAGGAGAACTCCAACACTTCGATAAATTTCCTCCTCCGATGAACTCAGGCATGTGCCTAGAATGGTGCCACAAGGCCAGCGTCCTAGTGCCAGGGCGAGAATGAGAAAGAGGATGGCGAGGAAAGTACGAATAGACGAAACGCAATTGGCCCACTCCATGTTTCAACGCTAAAGGCCCCTTCTGTTTGGAAGCTCTTTGGGCTACGGCTTATATTACCCAGCCACAAATTGATTATTCGGCAAGTTGAACCACCTAATCTTAGCTCAACCGACGGTGGTTCTCATCGAAGCGTTGTCTGCACTGCGCTGCCCATGCACGCAGTGAGATGGTAGCTAGAGTAGTCGCCGGCTATTAAGCCCACCTCGGGCCCAGACCAAATTGGGC